GAATGGGTAGTCAGTAGAGGACTTACTCAGCTGGTACTTACAAATACTTGATCCTATGGAAAAACATGAATGGTGTTTTAGTTGATGGCTGAGAAAGATGCAAATGAGAAAGATATGAATGAAAATTGAAACCTCGCTTGTAGAAACTAATCCATTGAACTGTTTTGTTTCAGCGAGTCTTGCCTCTCTCTCCTTGCCCTCCTTCAGTTGTTTCAAAGCGAGTTCACGCATATCGAGCAACTTCAACTCAGATTGCTTAACTGTAGGTTTTTTCACATCGAGTTGAGTACCAGGTTTTTCGTTCGCTTCACACTTCAAACACTCTATCATGAAAACAACGAAAATAGAAACAAAACTGACTTTAGTGGGAGAAGATACACTTTTTCTCTCTACAAGATGATCTCCTTCGGCTTTCCGAGCTGCATATGTCCTCCTTTTGGGTCTAAATTGTGAAATAGAGAAAACAAAAATATCAAAACTGCAACCTCTCTGTGAAGAAGCGTTCTGTATCGTCCGAGTCCACTTCCATGTTTTCATCTGATCTGCATCATCACATTTGCAAAAGAAGAAATAAAATCGAAGACTTACATTGAATCTTTACATGCGGTAACATCACTTATACGATCAGTGCCGTCAAGTTTAGAGCGAGAAATTTCAGGCTTAGGTGAGTCAATTATTTTGACAATGCGGACTTGAGCCACGACTGACCTGAAAAGCGAGATATTTATAGTGTTCGCATATATTTATCTTACTGGACTTCTTCCTCATTTGCAACAGTCAAATTAGCTCTGAAAAAGGTTAGTTGAATATGGAACGTAAACTTTTCTCCTATCAATAATGTAGGAGAATCAATCCTCTAGAAGCAAAACCTACAATTCTTCTCTCATAGGTAACAGCTCCATCTTCCCGAACTCATCATCTGATTCTTCGCTTGAAATGCTTTCTCGAAGAACTTTTGAAGTAATTTTTTTAATACTGGTTCGGCTTCCTGCTGTACACACTTCAGTCGCTTGACCATCTTCACTAGCTTTGCTTTTAGATGCTTCTACATTAATCTTCTCTTTAGATGCTTCTACATGAATCTTCTCTTTAGATGCTTCTACATGAATCTTCTCTTTATATGCTGCTACAGGAATCTTTCCTTTAGATGGTTCTACAGGAATCTTTTCTCTAGATGCTGTTATAGGAATCTTTTCTCTAGATGCTTCTACGGGAATCTTTCCTTTAGATGGTTCCACAGGAATTTTCTCTCTAGATGGTTCCACATGGATCTTTTCTCTAGATGGATCTACAGGAATTTTTCCTTTAGATGGTTCTACAGGGATTTTTCCTTTGAATGCTTCTACAGGAATCTTTCCTTTGAATGCTTCTGTAGGAATCTTTCCTTTGAATGCTTCTACAGGAATCTTTCCTTTGAATGCTTCTACGAGAATCTTTCCTTTAGATGCTTCTACAGGAATGTTACCTTTAGATGCTTCTACAGGAATCTTTCCTTTGAATGGTTCTACAGGAATTTTTTCTTTAGATGCTTCTACGGGAATCTTTCCTTTAGATGGTTCCACAGGAATTTTCTCTCTAGATGGTTCCACATGGATCTTCTCTCTAGATGCTTCTACGGGAATCTTTCCTTTAGATGTTTCCACAGGAATTTTCTCTCTAAATGGTTCTACAGGATTCTTCTCTCTAGATGCTTCTACGGGAATCTTTCCTTTAGATGTTTCCACAGGAATTTTCTCTCTAAATGGTTCTACAGGAATCTTCTCTTTAGATGGTTCTTCAGGAATCTTTCCTTTGAATGGTTCTACAGAAATCTTCTCTTCAGATGCTGTTACAGGATTCCTTTCTTTAGCTGCTGTTACAGGAATTCTTTCTTTAGATGCTGCTTCTACAGGGATCTTCTCTTTAGATGCTTCTACATGAATCTTCTCTCTGGATGCTTCGACATGAATCTTCTTTATAGATGCTTCCACATGAATCTTCTCTCTAGAAGCTTCTATATGAATCTTTTCTCTAGATGCTTCTTTATGAATCTTTTCTTTAGATGCTTCTCCCTGAATCTTTCCTTGAGATGCTTCTCCCTGAATCTTTCCTTGAGATGCTTCTCCCTGAATTATTCCTTGAGATACTTTCTCATGAATCTTCCCTTCAGAAACTTTTCCATGAATCTTTTCTTTGAGAGGAGATGAAAGTTCTCTTATGCCAGATGAAACATCCGATAGATTTAGTTCATCTGAGCGTGAGCGTTTCTTCGGTGTTGGCTTTTCTACCGTTGATAAGATTATTATATCATCTGTTTCAGTTTCCACTTTTTTAGTTTCAACTTCGTTATGCTCAATAGTTATCACATCTGCGTCTGATATGTCTTCAGCCATGACTTCTTGAGAATCAGAAGACGGTCCACTATGAATATCATCCTGGACGTACTCACTGTCACTATCATTGCTGGCCATCGAGGGACTTTGTGATTGAATGATATTGTGGATACCCATTGTTGGAGCGCGTCCTTTCATGGGTGAAACGTGAATTTCACTCTTCGCAGCGATGAATGTGGCTTTTGTAACCGTCACTATAGAACTCTTATCTTCTTTCCTAACATCCTTAATTTCCTTCCGTTCTTCTACAACAACCGTTTTGGAAGACTGCTCGTCCAATTTTTTCGGTGAAGAATGATTGTCAGCTAATAACTCAAGGCTTTTGTTTCTAGAAATTGATTCAAGTTGGTTTTCATCAAAGAGTATATACTCACAGAATGGCATTTCCTGCTTCTCCTAGAGTATTATCACCCTAAAACAGAAATCTTTGATGGA